TGGCGGGGGCGGCGGCGGCGGCGGTGGCGGCGGCGGCGGCGGCGGGAAGAGGTGGCAGCCGGGGGGGCTGGGGCGGTCGCGGCCCCGGTCGTGGCCCGGCCCGCGCCCGAGTCCTCCCTCCTCGTCGTCCTCCTCGTCGTCCTCCTCGGCCGCCTCCACCTCCTCCTCCTCCTCCTCCTCGTCGCCCTCTTCTTCCTCCTCTTCTTCCTCCTCCGACACCACCATCTCCTCCTCCTCCTCCTCCTCGTCCCTCAGAGGGGAAGCCATCCTGTGGCTCTGGCCCCCCCACCCCCCCCCCACCCACCGCCCGCCCGCCTCCCCCACCGCTACCACCACCACCTCCTCCTCCTCCTCCTCCTCGGCGGCGGCGGCCTCCTCCTCCTCCTCCCCCAGCCCCCCAAACCCCCGGGCCACCCCCCTCCAGAACACCCACCCCCGGGGCCGGCGTCTGAGGAGGGGGGCCGCACCACCCCCGAAAATGTTCCTGGAAAAATTTAAGGACTTCCCCCCCCTTCTCTCTTTCCTCCCAAGAGAACAAGGAAGGGAGATCGTTTAAAAAAAAAAAAAAAATTATATATATGTATATAAAAGTTTTCGACTCTCTCTACCCCCCTCGGTTGCTTTAAATATATTTAAATTCTGAGGGGGGCGCTCAGAAATATTTCTCAGAGCTGAGGCACTAAGATGGCCGCCTTGAAATTATTTTTAAAACAACCCCCCCTCCAGCACCGCCACCCCCTCTGTAAGGAAGGAGAGAGGGGGGTAAAGTCCCCTTTTAAAACAAAATGGCTGGCTTAATATTTCATTTTTCATGCACCCCCTTCTCCCTGTTACATCTCCTCTCCAAGCTTCTCAGAAACCCACTAATTTCTCTCTCTTTTCATAACTGATTAGTGTACAGATTAATACATTTTCCTTGTGTATTGAGAGAGTGAGTGTGTGTGTGTGTGTGTGTGTGTGTGTGTGTGTGTGTGTGTGTTGGGGGGCATGAAGGATTTCTGCATAAAACAAAAATGGCTGCTGTGACTTAACTCCCCCCCTTATAAAAATATTTGGGGGGGCATTAATCAGTACTCATGCTCAGTCTGACATCAGCATAAATTGTTAAAGGTTAACTAGTTAGATACTAGTCCAGCTAGACTGAATTTTTCTTTTCTTTACTAGTCTTGTTCCTGCCCCCACCTTCCTTCTCTAAAGAAAAGCTTTTTTTTTTTTTTTTTTTTTTTTTTTTTTTCTGAATACTTCAGAAGGGAGTGGTTTGATGTGAAGGGTTTTTTTTTTCCTTCAGGCATTGAAAAGGAAAAAGATGAAATATATGTTTATATATAACTGTACATACCTCATTGAAGTCAAAATGCATTTAATTGTGTACATATCTTTTAAATAAGAAACGGTACTGGATTTTTTTTCTTCTTTCTTAAAAAAAGTGACAGAAATCCTAGTGACTTTGGGGGAGAGATATGAATAGATACGATGATTGAGTTTTTTCAAAGGAGTCCATGTTTGATTCTCTCCTTCACCCAGCCTTTGCAGTGGTTTGTAATTGCTGTAAATTTTATCTCTACTCTTTCCCCCTTTCCCTCCCCCAGTCGCTTGCTTGTAAAAGCATCTGACTTGAGAAATGAATTTGGGGGTAAATAGGACAGATTTTTAGAATAAAGAGAAAAGAGTCAGATGTGAAGATTGTGAAATTCTTTTTTCTCCTGTTTCAGTGTCTTCCTCGGTGATCTTCAACACTACTAAAGTGGAAGAAACTGAGGCCCCGGAGTGAGCAAAGGACAGAGGTGGCATCACTGGGGCCTTCTCGTTCAACTGACTGACCCGTGACGTCCAGCTGAATCCCAGCGTTTTTCTCAGAGTTGTACCAGATGAGCAGTTGACAGGAAGTCCAGAAGTAAGTTTTCCTAAAGAGGCTTACCAGGGCCAGCTCAGCTAGAGTGAAACTTGCCAAGAAGCAGAGGAGGAAGGGGCTAGCCAGTCCCACCTTTGTTTTTTGTTCTTTGCTCTTTTCTTCCTCTAGTTTTTTCCCATTCTTTTGATCTGGCTTTGTTGCTTCCCATCCATGGCCTAGGGAAACCATTTCTCTTCTGCCCCCTCAGCTTGGCCGAGTTCACAAGGACCCTCGGGAAGGTGAGCTACAACCAGCAAAGTACCAGTGACAAAGGAATACTCCACCCATTTTTGTTTACAGTGCTAAAATGTTTCTCACTGATGTTCTGTTTGCTGCCCCTCACTACCACTTTATTGAACATTGGTTTCTGTCTTTTTTTTTTTTTTTTAATGTGGAATGATCTCGTCTGTGCTCCACGTTGTTTCCTTCTGTCCTTCAACCTAATGACTAAAGGTGTCCCCCTTCCTGTGTATGGGCGCCTCTGTGTGTGCTTTAGTTCTCAGAGGCTGCTTTCTCAGGGCGCCATCATTTCTAAGTGACTTTCCACCTCTGCCTTCTGTTTGCTTCTCCCTTCCTGTGTGAAGGCTCCCCCTCTTCCTGGCCCGATGAGGCGTGTGCATCACCCTAACACAGAGAAGGCCGTCTCCGCTTGTGTGTGGGCCACGCTGCACAGCGTGTGGCGGCGGTGTTGGGCCCTCGCCAGTGCCAGGCACCTCTGCCCGCCACGTGTTGTCATCCGCAGCTGCAGGTGTCTCCCCGTGCAGGCCCACGTCCCCGTCTCTACCAGAGGACCCGAGAGTCTGCCCAGCTCGCTCTCCCTGTCCATCACCCCCCACCCCAGGCCCCAGCCTGTCAGCACTTGCCCCTGCTCTTTTTGCTTCCTAGTGACCTCGTGCCTCCTCGCTTCTGCTGGCCCCTCTACCTGCTTGATTCCGTTGTGATGCCCGCTGCCTGTCTGCCCCTCCCTTGCTGGCTGGCAGCTTCCTTCTCTCCCTGGTTGTCTGTCTGCTTCTCTGGCTGTTTGCCCACCACTCTCTCTCTCTAGCCATCTGTCTCCCCGCCTGCCTGTCTCTGTCACTTTTAAAGCCCGAAGCTCTTGGTTTGTCTACCTTCCAGGACTTGCCACCGTTTCCCAGAACGGTTTGCCTCTCCTCTTGACCTTCTACCATTCCTGCTCCCACGTGTCTCTGCTAAGTTCATCATTTTCCTTTGCCTCCTGTCAGCTGTGTCGTCCTGCCCGTCTGTCTTGTCTTCTGCTCTCTCACTGCTCAGTGTTTGTGTCTTTTCACTGTACTTATCAGCTTTTCCTCTTGGCTTCCACGGGTAGTGCCGACGGCACGGAGGGGAAGCTCCTCTCCCAGGCCTTTCTGAGGCCCCCTCTCCTTAGAGTAGCGTCTGCATCTGTGCCATGCTCCTCACCCACCTTCTCTCACGTTTGCAGCCGTTTTAATTACCCCTCTTTCTCCCTTGCTGCCTTCACAGGCAGTCTGCCTGCCACAGTCTTTTTGCTAGTTTCCTACTCTGTTTCCCTGGCTTTTTGCTGTTTGCTTAGCAGGTTCTGGCTGTCCACATCTCCGCTTGCTTTTCTTTCTTCTTGTTTGTTCTAAGTAATTTTTCCTCAGTCAACTTTCAAATAGACATAAACATGCTATGAAACTCTGAAAGTATGAAACCTAGGTCTAGAGAGACCACCCAGTAATTAAGAGCATTGGCTGCTCTCTCAGAGGACCCAGGCTTGGTTCCTAGTACTGAAATGGTCGCTGACAGCTGTCGGTAACTCCAGGCCCAGGGACTACAACACCCTCCTCTGGTGTCTTTGGGTATTGCGTGAATGCTGTACAGACAGGTACTCCTATGAAACAGAGTAGGGCTGGAGGGATGGCTCAGCAGTCAAGAGCACTTGTTGCTCTTGCAAAGGACTGGGATTTGGTCACCAGCACCCAGATGGTAGCTCACACCCACCCTTCTGTAACTCCAGTCCCACGCTGACCACCAAGAGCCCATCTGCACACACATACATGCGGCAGAAACATAAGATAAATACGTGCTTTTTTTTTTTTTTTTTTCTTTTTGAAACAGGGTTTCTATGTGTAGCCCTGGCTGTCCTGGAACTCACTCTGTAGACCAGGCTGGCCTCCAACTCAGAGATCCACCTGCGTCTGCCTCCTAAGAGCTGGGATTAAAGGTGTGCGCCACCATGCCTGGCTAAATAAATGCCTTTTAAAAATAAGACTTTTAATGAATTAAAAAAAAAAAAAGGCTTTCATGTATCTCCTTACTTCCTCTCTATCCTAGTCCCTGCTGATTGGCTGCACCCTGCCCTTCTATCCGCCTGGCCTGGATCCCTCCACCATCCACTGGTCTGCTGGAGTCTCTCACGGCCTGCAGTGATGCGGGGCCAGCCAGCGCTCAGTAAATCGTGAGGCCCTGTTTGTGCAATACATTGCTTTGTCTTCTTACCTGCTTCTTCTGTTAGTGTCTGCTTCATTCTCTCTTCCCTTTCTCTCTGTGTCTGTCTTGGAGACGCTGCCTCCTTCCCGCGGCCGTGTTTCTCTTTCCTTGCCAGCCTGTCGTGCTGCCCTCAGGCTGCTCAGTTCTCGTCTCCCTCTGTGCATACAGGCTCCTCTGTATTTCCTTCGCCTACTTCCCTCTGTCCTTGGGCCTTTTATCTGTATGTCTCACTGTCTCTAGACGCCAGTCCCGTTACTCATTTCAATGTGCGCATCTACTCTTCCTATATTCCCTAAGAAAGCTTGAAATCCCTTGTAACTAATTGGCAATTACTTCTTGCTTTTATTTAGAAGTGTGTTCAGGTAAGAACAAGGAATATACAGACATGCAGTTATCAAATACAAGCTAGAATTAATGGACCTCCCCAGTGTAAAATAAAGAACAAGGAAATGCATTGAGGAGATTCCTAAGCCAAAATAAGATCATTTAAAGCAAACTCAAGAACTGTGTCTAAAACAATAGTTAAAAACCCTTCTGATTATAAAAAGTTATAAACTATTTTGCTAGAAAAAAGGCAGGCACTCTGAAGGACAGAGAAGATCCAGCCCTATGCAAAGCAGCCCAGCGTCATCATAAATCTCCACGTGCTGGGCTAGGGAGATAGCCAGGTAGAAAGCTGCTTTCCACACAGGCAGGGTGTGAGTTCAATCTCCGGTGCCCGAGGTGCTTGTGAGAAACCCGCCTGCCTCAAAACACAAGGCCGGCAGGAAACCTCGACCTCCAGCCTCCATGTGGACTAACACACATAGAGTCACTTTTTAAAATTTAAGCCAGTAAATAATAATATTAAAATGCACATTTCTCCATCATTCTGCTTATTAAATAAAATGTTACTGACCTTTGCTGATCCTTAGACCACACGCGGGGCTGGAGAGTG